TTTAATCCTCAAATACCTTTCATTCTCATGCTTCACTCGGAATGCAAGTCATTTTATGTCATAGATGACAATTGTAGTCGCTGTAACTCGAAAAGGGTGCAAATAGTGTTTACTTTTGACCAATTTGTAATAATATACCAAAAGATTTTGTGATTTTGTTTTTTAAATTTGCAACTTTTTTACTAATAGCAAATTGTCTGTCATTCCTTCAAAAAGATGTTGTTTAGGTTTACATTCCCTTTAACGAAACAAATTCATTTCACTTGGTGTGAATCCGGAGGTTAAGGGACTTCTTTATGCATTTTTTTTGAGGGTGCACCGTTTGTCATGAGTAATTATTGTTAATTTTGTTTAATTTAATTCAATATAGTTTTGTTTATGTTACACAGAAAGCTATAACCATAATACTTATAAATTTGTGCGCTTTCATTTCCTTTATGTTATCTCTTATGTTAACGGTATTGTGCATCGTTTTTGCTCAAACAGCATCAGGAAATTGGATTGACAAGGATTATAAACGGGGCAATTTTCTATAGCTCATCGGTGCGGCGAGCGTCTTTAGCAGCAACAGCAACATAAGCCATATCTGAAACAACATGACGCATGGCGACGTCGTTTAAGACGCGTCTTCTATGCATTTTGCAGCCGCTTCGTTTACATTATCCCTTTATAACGTCTCTTGATTAATTATAGCGATGATGTTAAGAAGTAGTAGCAGCAGCATCGGCGTTATAACGATGACGATGGCGCGGAGACGATGCCGGTGTGTTGGTTTCATTTTGTTGTTCTTAATATCTTCCGTCGCGACGGTGGCATCTTTCTTTTGGTGCGAAATGCGAATATGCCGCTGTGTCGTTTACGCTAACATGTAATAAATCTTTGTTTGGGTAAAGAAAATAATCGCTCATCCGAGTTATATTTTTATACTGATACCACTAATGAATATTAATATGTTATGGGAAGTAACACTGCCTATAACACATATACAGTGTTAAAAATGAGATAATGTCAACCTAAAAGAAGCAAGTGTTCAGTGTAGAAGTTAACGAAAAAAGAGTCAAGGCCGATAAGCGTAAGAAAGGCGTTATTTGATTATAGGGTAAATATCTAGATGATGGCCCCCACCCCCGGGGGGGGGGATCGAATGAGGAGGTCTCCCCCACCACTGTACCATAAAAAGTTATGGGGGTTAGATGATGGCCCCAAGGGGGTGGTAAGGGAGGATCGAAAGAGAGTGGTTTTAAAACATTGTTTTTGAAATGTTTCAATTGAAGTGTTTCGACTGGATTATTGTGTAGTTTTAAACAATACAAAAGTTTATTTATACAAATTGACAAACAAAAGAAAGGAAAATGACATAGACATACATACAAAATATGTATTATCACGAAATATCAAAATATGAAATGTTAAAATATTCTGATCGTACGTTTTTCTTTATCGACTACACAAAAAAACTAAAGCAATAGTTGTGCTACTAATTAAAATTTCAATTAATTTTTTAATTAGATTTTAATTTCTTGTATTATGTAGCGCAATTTTCAGAAATTTACTAGTGCAGATTGTGGTAATTCGCAATTTGTGCTGTATTTGTACAAATAACAAATAACCATTGTCTAATTCCACGTTATTCTGCATTTGTAGCATAACATATAAACAGTTATTGCTATTGTTTACTAACTGAAAACTGTAATGTTAAATCATTTTTTTTTGTTAGTATCTTTTACCATCACAAAACAGGTGGAAATGTATCTTGAACACATCGATTGGTTTCAATAAATTTTGTATCAAGTCTGAGGAAATCAGAAAAAGGAGTGGGCCGAGTAAGTTGCAGAACTTGCAAAACTTGCAATATTAACGTAAATAATGTTAGCAAGACAACTTATTCCAATCGAAAAATCTTTCGAATGATAATTTACCGCTAATTAGTTGTGAAAAAAGAATTGTTTCTTATTTGTTCTTTTAAAATATTGCATGTTTTTCTAACTTAATATAAAGTTAGTGGAAACACCAAAGGCGATTGTTAATTGATTAAAATTTAATTTTTGACAACAATTAGTCCGATGTTAATTTGCCGTAACGGAATGACAATGGGCAAAATTACCACAAATAAAGTCTTAGCCCCCCCCGCCGGAGGGTGTTTTGCTGTAAATCCTCAAAAACTCACTTCTTTTGTGAATAGATCGGGAAATTTCCAGGGCTGTTTTGCTGCGAATCTCCAAAAAGTCACTTATTTTGCGAATAGTTCGGGAAATTTTATTGAGGAAAATTCCCAAAGTCTACAACTAATTCGCTCGGGGTGAACGACCAGTCCTTAAGAGTATTTTGCGCTCGGTAAATGAACTTTTAGCCCTCTCTGGAGGTGTTTTGCTGCGAATCCCCAAAAAGTCACTTAGTTTGCGAATAAACCGGAAAATTCCATCTAGGAATCCTCTAGATAATATATATTTACGCATGCAGCATGTGATTATTGTCAAAGATAAACGTAAAACCTTACACCGAGTTCGTCTATCCCTTTTATCGTTTCGAATTGATATGTACGATATTTCGTTCATTCAACGATAAATTCGATCCAGACGCTTTTATGTGAGTGTCTATCTTTCGTAATACTTTTGCGAGTCATCACTCATCTTGATATCCTTTTTGTACCATCAGCGTCATCGTCGACGTCACCAATACAGGATAATATTTATATTTATCAGGAAATATCTCGTACGATGGGGAGGTATCATCTAGGTACTATTATGCCGTTCGTAAGAGCTTAGTGAATTTTATGCGTCTCCCTTCCAGTCTGCCGCACAAACTACTCAAAGTTCAAAATACAGCGTGATCCGTCGGATTACTTCCCAGTTTAAGTTTCATCCGAGCTCGCTAAAATGATAAATGGGTTCCGTTTGTTTTCGATGTGCTGCTCTCTCTAGTGCACTTTGTCGAATCCTTTATTCAGAACTTCGTTGAATTTGTAAGAACTTATATTCGGTTACAGAGAGAGAAAGATAGAGAGAGAGATAAAAAAAAAAACCTCACCGCCCTACTAATCTCATAAGGACAATGTAAAACGAGTCATTTTGTGAACCGCTTAGTTTCTTATCAGTCGGTGTTTACAAACTTCCTGTCTCATTGTTTTCAAGCATCGTCATCAATTCAAAATAATCTTTCTCCATCAGAGCCAACGGTCACATCTATTGTTCTACCGCCCTCATGGAATATTTCAACTCCGGTTTTTCTTTTGTTTTTTATTTTTGTTATACGCATAGTTTTTCATTATTTTTCAATTATTGTTGCTGTAATTAAGTTCTGTACGTCACAGCGAAATAATAAAATTTAGAGAGATTTCATTGTAAATCATTTTTATTCTATTCCTAAATTATTTGAAACATTTTTAATTTAAAAGGTGGTTTTACCAGGAAAATAATGGAATTTATGTACTTATAACTGTAGAGTAATATTACAGAGGTTTTATTAAATTTTTTTAAGTGGAATATTTGGGTTGTTATTAATAGAAATGAAAAAATGAAGGACGGGAGTGTTTCTCAATTTTTTATTTTTCCTGAGGTACTATGAACTAACGTTGTAGTTAGAAAGGTTCTTCTGATATATGTTCAATGTTCAAAAATTGCTATAATGACCTGGTCTTCCGCAGTGCAGTATGGGTGGTTGGTGTGAATTTGGTGAAGTTTTGCTTAATTGTTCATGAGAAGGCTTTTATTGTCCAATTGTCTAACATTTTCAAGACATTGCACTAGAGCAGTGGTTCCTAACCTTTTTAATATTGTTACCCCTGTGACTTATTAGGAAAACTGATTTTACCCCGACATTAAAATGTTATCAGTACACACAAATTGCACATCAGTATTACAATTTTATATATCTAAACAATAAATTAAGCAAAAATAGTTAGTGTGATGGTTGGTGAAAAGTTGAAAAACCACTCTCACATTTATAGGTGCTGACAAAGGGTATTAGCAGTTTTAAAGCTCTGTTAGCTAGAACAAAATATTCGGCACCAGCTTTTCACCAAAATGTGTTCAGATCATAATTTTGAAGTTCTACTCTGCAAGTAGTATTTTGGCGTAGTCCAAGATATTCCTTAATATCCAAGAACTGGACTGACATATCCATATCCGGAATATATTGCTTCAGTGAGTTTATTGCTGCAGATAAATGCCGAATCACAGAATTTTCATATGTGATCTTGTCTGGTTCAATATTTACCAATTGTGCATACAGTTTTATAAACATCGACATATTTACAATTTTATATTTTTACCATCTAGCTATGTATTTTATCAGTTTAGGTCTTAATTATTAGGTTCTTTGTTACCCCCCACGGAATAATTGATTTACCCCCGCGGGGATTATTACCCCCAGGTTCGGAATCACTGCACTAGAGATTGTGTAAACAATTAATTTCGAAATTCAACATTAGGCATTGTTCATTATATTTAACTAATTATTTATGTATTAATTACCAATTTACACATTAAAAACGGAGCATTTGTTGTAATCGATTTAGTATCGTTTGATGTCATAGATATATAATCGTAAGATCAAACGAACTTACCTTAAGTGATGTTCGATCTTGATTATATGAAGGCCTCGTCGAAATAAATAAACGTGTATTGTAGTACCTCCGCCACTGGCTAAATATTCACAACTTTAAAGAAACTACTATGACTCCCTTCCACTCTTTATCGCGTCCGTTGCCTCAGTTTTATTTTAAAGAGTTGTTGCAACAATATTAGGGATTACATAAAATGGGTCTGGGTTGGGACTTTATTTATTTCGACGAGGCCTTCATATAATCAAGATCGAACATCACTTAAGGTAAGTTCGTTTGATCTTACGATTATATTCGGCCTCGTCTCATAAATAAACGTGTATTGTAGCTGTTTAAAGTAGTTGCAACAAAAAATTACTTAAACATATATTATATGAAGATATGTTTTATTTAATTGAAAAAACAAAAACCAATGGTACAAAAGTATAAGGTAAATATATATCTATATGTATATAAATGAAAACCAACTAACTATAAGGCTATTGATACATAATCATAATAGGTAACTCAAGTACATGTGCATGTCTAAATTTAATAAACAGACGCTGATAATATTGTGTTAGCAAACTTTTTATTGTCTATTATAGGCCTATTGTAGAAATTTGCAAATGATCTTGAATTTTGGGTCCAGCCTGCAGCAAGTCTAATAGAGTCAAAGCTTACGCCATTCTTAGCTGCCGCTGACGTTGCTGCATGACGTGTACTGTGCGCCTTAAAGGTGTTTATGTCAATTCCACTTTTTCTTAAGACATTTTTTATCCATCTAGCAAGAGTGTGCGATGTTGCTTTTCGAAAGGGTCTTTTATGTGTGATAATTAAGAAATCGCAAGGACCCCTCAAATCCTTCGTTTCATCTAAGTATTGTAGCAATGTTGTGGCTACACAAACTGTGGGATCCAGATGATACATAGGCAAGACTAAAAATGGTTGAGTTCTTTTGAGAGATGTTGTTTTTATTCTATGAGGAATTTTTATCTCGATCCGATCAGGGTGGATTAATATGTTACTAATTTCAATGAGACTTAATGTTTGAATACGCTGCCCTGTAGCAAGTGCTAAAAGAGTAACTAATTTTTCTGAAAGGAATTCAAGAGTAATAGGATTACTGGCAAGAGATCTAAAGTAATCAACCACTATGCCAGGGTCCCATGTATTTTCATATCTGGGTAACGGCTGTCTTAAACTAAAGACGCCTCGGAAGAATCTCTTGATCCTAAAGTCTTGTGCCAGGTTCGGACCCGCTATCTGTGCTAGCGCCGATCTGTAGCTATTAAGTGAACCATNGGAAATGCACAGTAACTTCGTTATTTTAAATGGAATTTCCCACTTTTTATTGCATTTTTGAATTCCCCATAAAAAACAATGTCATTTTATTAAAATGTGTTATTAATTAAAACCGTTTTAGGAAGTTTGGCGAGTTTATTTTGTTTTTCGATTTTCAGTGTAGGTACTAATTTCTTTTGAAAACATCGTGTCTTTATTTATAAATATTAACACTAATTTCACAGCTAATTAGGTAATTACTCAACAATAAATTAATTTGGTAATTTGGCATTAAAACTTTTGCATCTACTTCTATTCCCTTAATAAACAATTCGTACCTAAACTGAAAATCAAAAAGCAAAACAAACTCGCCAAACTTTTTAAAACGGTTAACTTGATAAGACAATAGATATTATTGAAAATTTCAAAAAAGTTGCAAATTTCTCAAAAACTACTGGTCACAGATACCAACACCCCTATATCAGTGGAAAGGAAATTTAATTTTGCATTATACTATGTGAGAAAAAATATGGCATTCCATTTAAAAAAGAAAGTTATACCTTTTTGAATTTGTGAATTTTTGCACCGATAAATATTATATTATTTATGATGTACGTATTTATCTAATACCTACAAATGATAGGCAATTTCACCCAAAAACGGAATTAAAAAACAGCAAACCTCCAAGTCCTTTCGTTTCTGAGAAATTTAAAACGGCTCCAAACACTACAAACGTCAAATTTTCCAAGAAACGTCCAATAACTCCAGAACGGTGCGACCCAGGTCTAATACATTTTAATAAACTGACATTGTGTTTTCATGGGGAATTCAAAAATTCAATAAAAAGTAGGGGGTTCAATCTAAAATAACGAAATTACTGTGCATATTTGAAAATATCTTTACGTTATTATACACTTAACTCTATGCAACTTTTATTTCAAACAATTTTTCTCTATTCTGAAGTATACTAGTTTGAATGACCGATTTTGGATTACTGACTCACCCTGTATAGCTGTCGTCCGACTTCATTCTTCCATAACGCGAATCTCACTAACGAACGAAATCAATTTTGCCATGTGATTTTAATTAATATATCACATTGCAAAACGAATGGGTTCGTGTTTATCAATTTAAACTTTTGTGTAACGTTCAATAGAAACGTATTAAAACGAATTTAAACTCAATGCTACTGCTTTCATTAATATAGTAAAAATTACGTTGTGGATGTTTGCGCGAATCCGGTGTTAAAATTAAATTACGATATAGCAGTTTTTATCGTTTTCAATTTTGTTTATTGGTCTATATGTTTAACAAAAAATAAACGTTTAATAAGGAAAGCAATTGTTTTCTTAATTTAAAAAAGGTTCTTCCAGATATGTCTAATGTCCGCACTTCGTAAATCCTTTAGAATTGTAGTTAAAAATGAGTCAGATGAATATTATTAAAAACGAAAAAGTGCGCTAGTCAATTATAGTAATATTTTTAAAATAAATCTCATATTCTTGTAAAAACCTTGAAATGAGTAGATAACTGTCATTGCAACTAAAAAAATATTAATAAATGTAAGAAAATAACGTGTTAATAGATTTTATCTTCTTAATACTTTTAATTTATCATAAAGTATTATTTTTGTCCGCAGCTTCGCTTATTTGAATCAGTTTTTTTGTAGTATATAGTTTTATCACTTTTAAAAGATAAGAATTCAGGCTCTTGCTCCCTTTTGCATATAATTTTTATCATTAAAGTGAAAATTTACTTAAAAGTTCTTAATTCTTATTGCAGCATGAAAATTATTGCGTTATGTTAATGTTTTTATTTGAAATGATCCTCTTTGAAATACAAATATAAGATGCAAAAGAAGTATCTGTTTTTATTTGTTATTTTCAGTGAAAATTATTTTCTATTTGTATTTGGATAGTTTTTAAACGTATTTTATAAATGTAAACTGTTACGGTGTTTTTCCACCCTACTTGCTTTTATTTAACCATTTAAACATGTTTCATCGAGTGTTCTGCGAACTTATTACTATTACAGTAGAACGACGATCAGATAAAGACCAAGGGAAACGTAAAATAATTTGAGTTATTGAGGTTTTTACTTACTAAGGGTTTAAGTTTAATCTTTAACTAACACTAATTTTTTTATTTCTACACTGTCTAAACCATGTAAACAGGCATTTTTCTAAATTAGGAAATTCAGCAATTCTTCGTCTTTTACATAGAAGACTTTTCACTGCTTACTGAGGTGCGATGCCCAAATTATCCATTTGAGTTATAGAGGGATTTTATTTTAAGTAATAGAGGTTTTGGACTCCGAGGGGAAGGGAACACAAAATTTTATGAATTTATAGAGGTTATTACGTTATCAAGGTTTAAGTTATCACGGTTCTACTGTATTATGAAACCAAACGTTTCGCCATGATGGTCATCAGCCCGAATCTTAATTCTAATACTAATTTTCTTATACGTAGAAAGTAAAACAATGTAGAAATTACACATTTAATTTTGAGTAAATTTGTAATTAGTAGAAATGAATAAGAGTTTCCAAATAACAGTAGCACGTATTGTGTATATTATTATCCGCCTATTCTGTTACTAACCCTCCATGTATTTTTAGTAAGTAATTCAACAATTTTCTTAATAAGCAGTAACAAAATAAAAAAATACAACGTGTAATTATACAACACGCTGCTGAAATGAAACTTCTTCAAACACACAAACATACCGGGATAGGGGTTAATGAATTGGTTTAACGGTATTTGTACACTACGAATTTAAATTTTACACTATACATGCTGGAGTTGCCTGTAACGAACGTTGCATTGAAGCGCGCTCACGGCTCAAGCGATCCCCACTACGAACTCGACTTCGTGATCGAGTAGAAAAGGGACATCCGTTGCATGATTTCGTTACATAGCAACTCGCATGAAACGAACTTACTCTACCGTGCGTAAAGAAGTTTCACTTCAAAAAAGCAGTTTATTTCAAAAACAATTCGGAAAATACCTACTGCTAAATAAGAATCAAATGTCACTTGGTTCTGCTCCAGTTGAGATCTGTGTCCTTCTAATTCCTTTCGTATTAGGCCAGTAGTGTTTATACGTGCAGCTAAGATTCTAACCGTTTGACACGACTCCTATTTTTTCAAAAATCGACGCTCGTTCTTTGCGCTTTAGGGCCATAATTTATTTAGATCATCCTTCTCAGATTAAAATTACAATCCTCAGGATATGAATGCCTGTATAATGAATATCGTCGCCATCCCCCGAAACAATTGCGGTACCCTGCTGCGAACTAGCATTTAATTAAGTTTATATTTTGCTTTGCCGCTTTTATCAAGAACGGAATTTTATATGGAGGTCTCTATTAGCGCTTTGTGTGCAAAGTCGCTTACGAAGGCTTTTTGGCGTTAAATTTGAAATGTAGATGCCGCGTTGATGACGACGTGGCGGTATGGCCCGTGTTATAACATATACACATAGCAGTATATTAACATACATACATACATACAAAATTTCCAGGTATGTAATTTAATGAGCTGGAGGATGTTTATGAGTGGGAAAATTTAATTATCCTGCATTATTCAAGCTTTTAACAAAAAAAAAAAAAAATACAAGAAACGACAAGCAACTAATGAAAATGAAATACGTACAGACGGAAAGTATCTAAGCATTATCTCCTAGTACCTATGCGAAGTACCCATGCTACAGGATAAAGTAATTTGTTTTTCGGGTAACGATTTCTCAGCAGCAGTTTATATTCAGTTGGTTTTATGACTATGACACATTAAAGTAAATGCTCCAAGGTATACATGATTAGGGATAGAGATAGCATACTAAAATTTATAGGGGAAAAATTACTACTAACAAAGCTAATGATTTCTTTTTGATGGTAAGTTAAAAGTCAAATCCTAATTAATATTACAAATGGGATTGTGAGTTTGGTACCACTTGACGCTTTAACTACTCAATCGATTATCGTGAAATTTTGTACATAAATTGTCACGGGTTACAGAATAGGACGTAGGGTATCTTTTATCCAGAAAAAAATATTGTTTCCGAGAGATAGAAAAATTAGTTTTATGTGGTCGATGGTGATCTTTAACACGTATTTAGGACATATAACAATATACAACATATCAAGGGTACAGAAAAAGACAAAGGTACCTTTTCATCATCATAAGGTCATTAATCCTAAGATTGGTAAGGACACGCACCTCCACTATTTTCTATCCTGAGCTAATCTTTGCATTTCACTAAAACCTGAACAACCCATACCCTTAACTATTTGCGAAAAGTAATCTAATCTAGGTCTATCTCTACCCCTCCTAACTTCCGTTTCTGCCTCTAATATATCTCTGACTAGACCTTCATGCCTGTGAAGGTGTTCTACTAATCTATCTCGCCTATTTCTTATTGACTTCCACAGAGTTCTCTGTTTTCCTATTCTTTTTAATAACTCTTCATTTCTAACCTTCTCTATCTACGGTATCCTCATCATTCGCCTGTAACAGCACATTTCGAACGCTTCTAACCGTTTCTTTTCCGCCGCTAACACTGTCCATGTTTCGCACCCGTACAGCGTCCTGATCCAAACATACACCTTTAACAACCTTTTTCGAATTTCTAAATTAACCGTAGAAGTGACTTCTTTTTATTAAAGACGACACGACCCTTTGCTATCCTCTGCTTTATATCCCTACTACTCCTTCCATCCTGACTAACCGCCTAGATATCTAAAATCGGTCACTTCTTCTAGTTTTTCGTCTCCTATCTTTATGAACGCCTCTTCGCTACTTTTTCTTCCCTAGCATACCAGTTTTACTTTTATTTATTTTCATAGAATACTGTTTTGTCAATACTACTTCCATTTTATTTAAAGCTATCTGTAACTCCTCCTTGCAAGATGATAATACTGCTATATCATCTGCAAATCTACGCGTACTAATCTTTTGCCCCTGTATATCTATCCCTACAGTTGTACTGTCTTTAATTATGTTGATCGCGTCTTCGATGTATAGATTAAAAAGTAGCGGTGTCAGTGTGCATCCCTGTCTGACTCCCTAATATTTACGTCTCTACGTTGCAGCCCCAGCTCTATAATTGTCTGTTGCTCTTTATACAAACTAAGTATCACTCTTCTATCTTTGTAACTCATCCCTACATTTTTAAGTATATTTAACAACATGTCCCATTTAACATTGCCAAAAGCTTTTTCTATATCTACAAATCCTAAAAAAAAGTACAGTTCCCGAGGGATGGAAATATTAGTTTTTGTGTATCTTAGATGATCTGTGACACGTATTTACGAAATTTTGTACACATATTGTCAGAAATACAGAAAAAGATAAATAATGTAACAAAAAAATGATAAAAATGTGTTGTTTTCGAAGGATAGAAAAATTAGTTTTATGTAGGTACTAGTGTTGCCCAAACGCAAGAACAAGACGAGACTTAGCCAGTCTTGGTCTTGGTCTTGCGCCAATACACCNAATTTAAAAGGTGGTTTTACCAGGAAAATAATGGAATTTATGTACTTATAACTGTAGAGTAATATTACAGAGGTTTTATTAAATTTTTTTAAGTGGAATATTTGGGTTGTTATTAATAGAAATGAAAAAATGAAGGACGGGAGTGTTTCTCAATTTTTTATTTTTCCTGAGGTACTATGAACTAACGTTGTAGTTAGAAAGGTTCTTCTGATATATGTTCAATGTTCAAAAATTGCTATAATGACCTGGTCTTCCGCAGTGCAGTATGGGTGGTTGGTGTGAATTTGGTGAAGTTTTGCTTAATTGTTCATGAGAAGGCTTTTATTGTCCAATTGTCTAACATTTTCAAGACATTGCACTAGAGCAGTGGTTCCTAACCTTTTTAATATTGTTACCCCTGTGACTTATTAGGAAAACTGATTTTACCCCGACATTAAAATGTTATCAGTACACACAAATTGCACATCAGTATTACAATTTTATATATCTAAACAATAAATTAAGCAAAAATAGTTAGTGTGATGGTTGGTGAAAAGTTGAAAAACCACTCTCACATTTATAGGTGCTGACAAAGGGTATTAGCAGTTTTAAAGCTCTGTTAGCTAGAACAAAATATTCGGCACCAGCTTTTCACCAAAATATGCTAAGATCATAATTTTGAAATTCTACTCTGCAAGTAGTATTTTGGCGTAGTCCAAGATATTCCTTAATATCCAAGAACTGGACTGACATATCCATATCCGGAATATATTGCTTCAGTGAGTTTATTGCTGCAGATAAATGCCGAATCACAGAATTTTCATATGTGATCTTGTCTGGTTCAATATTTACCAATTGTGCATACAGTTTTATAAACATCGACATATTTACAATTTTATATTTTTACCATCTAGCTATGTATTTTATCAGTTTAGGTCTTAATTATTAGGTTCTTTGTTACCCCCCACGGAATAATTGATTTACCCCCGCGGGGATTATTACCCCCAGGTTCGGAATCACTGCACTAGAGATTGTGTAAACAATTAATTTCGAAATTCAACATTAGGCATTGTTCATTATATTTAACTAATTATTTATGTATTAATTACCAATTTACACATTAAAAACGGAGCATTTGTTGTAATCGATTTAGTATCGTTTGATGTCATAGATATATAATCGTAAGATCAAACGAACTTACCTTAAGTGATGTTCGATCTTGATTATATGAAGGCCTCGTCGAAATAAATAAACGTGTATTGTAGTACCTCCGCCACTGGCTAAATATTCACAACTTTAAAGAAACTACTATGACTCCCTTCCACTCTTTAACGCGTCCGTTGCCTCAGTTTTATTTTAAAGAGTTGTTGCAACAATATTAGGGATTACATAAAATGGGTCTGGGTTGGGACTTTATTTATTTCGACGAGGCCTTCATATAATCAAGATCGAACATCACTTAAGGTAAGTTCGTTTGATCTTACGATTATATTCGGCCTCGTCTCATAAATAAACGTGTATTGTAGCTGTTTAAAGTAGTTGCAACAAAAAATTACTTAAACATATATTATNGAGGCCGAATATAATCGTAAGATCAAACGAACTTACCTTAAGTGATGTTCGATCTTGATTATATGAAGGCCTCGTCGAAATAAATAAACGTGTATTGTAGTACCTCCGCCACTGGCTAAATATTCACAACTTTAAAGAAACTACTATGACTCCCTTCCACTCTTTATCGCGTCCGTTGCCTCAGTTTTATTTTAAAGAGTTGTTGCAACAATATTAGGGATTACATAAAATGGGTCTGGGTTGGGACTTTATTTATTTCGACGAGGCCTTCATATAATCAAGATCGAACATCACTTAAGGTAAGTTCGTTTGATCTTACGATTATATTCGGCCTCGTCTCATAAATAAACGTGTATTGTAGCTGTTTAAAGTAGTTGCAACAAAAAATTACTTAAACATATATTATATGAAGATATGTTTTATTTAATCGAAAAAACAAAAAACAATGGTACAAAAGTATAAGGTAAACATATATCTATATGTATATAAATGAAAACCAACTAACTATAAGGCTATTGATACATAATCATAATAGGTAACTCAAGTACATGTGCATGTCTAAATTTAATAAACAGACGCTGATAATATTGTGTTAGCAAACTTTTTATTGTCTATTATAGGCCTATTGTAGAAATTTGCAAATGATCTTGAATTTTTGGGTCCAGCCTGCAACAAGTCTAATAGAGTCAAAGCTTACGCCATTCTTAGCTGCCGCTGACGTTGCTGTATGACGTGTACTGTGCGCCTTAAAGGTGTTTATGTCAATTCCACTTTTTCTTAAGACATTTTTTTTTTTTTTTTTTTTTATCCATCTAGCAAGAGTGTGCGATGTTGCTCTTCAAAAGGGTCTTTTATGTGTGATAATTAAGAAATCGCAAGGACCCCTCAAGTTCTTCGTTTCATCTAAGTATTGTAGCAATGTTGTGGCTACACAAACTGTGGGATCCAGATGATACATAGGCAAGACTAAAAATGGTTGAGTTCTTTTGAGAGATGTTGTTTTTATTCTATGAGGAATTTTTATCTCGATCCGATCAGGGTGGATTAATATGTTACTAATTTCAATGAGACTTAATGTTTGAATACGCTGCCCTGTAGCAAGTGCTAAAAGAGTAACTAATTTTTCTGAAAGGAATTCAAGAGTAATAGGATTACTGGCAAGAGATCTAAAGTAATCAACCACTATGCCAGGGTCCCATGTATTTTCATATCTGGGTAACGGCTGTCTTAAACTAAAGACGCCTCGGAAGAATCTCTTGATCCTAAAGTCTTGTGCCAGGTTCGGACCCGCTATCTGTGCTAGCGCCGATCTGTAGCTATTAAGTGAACCATAAGAAGCACCCTTTTTAAACTGATCCGTTAAAAATTGTAAAACACGTGGGATTTTTATAGAAAATACGTTAATATTGTTTTTAGTGCAGAACTCCCACCACAACCTTAAGCCGCAAGAATATTGCTTTAAGGTATTTTGTGTTATTGATAGCAGGCATATCTCCAAAGAATCCTGTGGTACTTCCCCTAATGAGAGGGCTTTCCTGATAATTTCCCTGCTACCAGGGAAAGAGTCTCCCATAAGGGGTGTGGAATTCTGTTGAAAGAGAGCAAAAATTTTTTAGGTTTNAGAGTCTTGCAGGCTATGTCTTGTTCTTGCTCAAGTCTTGCACGGTCAGTCTTGGTCTTGGTCTTGCTAAAAATACGCGGTCTTGTTCTTGGTCTTGGTCTTGCAAAAACGCAAGAACAAGACCAAGACTGCAAGACCAAGACTGAATTTGGGCAACACTAGTAGGTACGCAATGAATGTTTTCTTTACATTTCAAATTTCGACGTTTAGGCTGTGGGTTATCTGTCAGTGAGTCACGGTATACGTAGATAAATAAATCTCAATATCAAAGTAATTTTTATGTGCGTCAGATAAATGACAATTTTAATCTAACAGTTTGTAGATATTTCAAATTGTTTAATAAATAATTCAATTCAAACACAGTTAAAATATTCTCTAGGATTTCCGATCCAACTCAGAAGTCGAGGAGGAAATAAGTCACTGAACAGTCTTTCAATTTCCGCTTTTAGTGAACTTGCCAGTATTACTGATTCGTTTACATTGCTAAGACGTCCCGTTTAGAATAATTCCCACGAACACTTACTTCGAGTACCCTCGTGTAAATATTATTATTGAAGGTAAAAATATTCTCGGTGCTGTTCGAGATTCTTCTTCTTCTTTATGCGGAACTCGGAACAGATTTTTCTGGCATTCAGAGAATATTAAAATTTCGACGACGAACTGTATTTGTTCACTTTTATTACTTTATTTCTTTTTGGGAAAGGAAGAAATCAATCTGGTAGCTTCTTTGTGATTAATTCATAACGCTAAAGAAAATTGTAAAAATACTTATAACTTGGCTTTGGAATAATACCTACAGCTAGGTAAGTAATACTGGAAAATTTTCATTTTCTTAAAATCCTTTATGCTAAGTTTTTCAGTCAGTCCTTGATATTTGAAATACGTACGATAAGGGGTATAGCGTGTATATAGGGTGTCCCAGTTATAATAATTAATATTTATACCACAGATTCCTACGGACATTTGGAACATAAAATGTTATAACACTTTTGACTATTGAAACAAAATAAAAAATTATAAAATTATTACAGTTTTGATGACGGCCCTGCACAATCGCAAATTAATTAAGATTGCCAGCTGATCGTAGACAAATTCACCTTCAGTAGGTCGGAATCAGCTGCTTTTTGGGGTGATGTTATTGTTTATGTTTGGTATTAAGTTACGGATCAGCCGAAGAAAATGCACTCGCGTTAAGGTCCATTAGATGACTGAAACACGTTAGAAAAACTATGTACCTATCACAATCGAAAATCCCATGATCGTAAACTGATGTGGAACTAATGTAGCCCATGACGTCGAGTATTATGTTATTTTAAATAGAAAAGAAATTTTAACGACTACGGAATAGTTAGAAGCGGTGCACAAACAACCCTCACCACCCAGCGTTTGGTAAAAGTTTGTAACATAATGTACTAGTGTACGAAAACAAATGTATGTGTTATGGTTGCAAAAGTTGAGACAAGATGCAGACCTACTTTGACCATTCACATGTGTTAAACGTTAGTTTTGCCTGGCGGGGCTCATTAACCCCACGTGGGGTAATACAAGGATGTGTCCAGAAGGACCAAGTTGGTTATTTTGTTTTCATTAAATGTAAAAAGCTAAATATTGATATAACCTCGTATAATTACACTGCTGGAAGTGACTCGAAAAAACACACATAATGTTGTAGTTTCTAACAGGTTATTCAGTTCGCTTTGGATTGTTGTGGAATTTACTTGTTTGTTAGTGCTAGTTTATTTATTTAGTGGTCATTTCATAAAAGACTATTACAATAAGGACAATTAGTTGTGTGATGGTGCATTCTAGTACGGTTCTTATTCAACCGTCAGTTGGTGGTGAGTTACATTACCAATGCCTATGGGATAATTCGAAATATTCCCGGTATCTGGGCCAAAATTCGCAGCAACTGTACGTCGCTGTCAGTGTTGCTTTGAAGCGAATGGCGGAGAATTTAAACATTTTTTATAAAAGATACGCATTTCTTTTTCACTTTTACCTTCTTTTTACAAGGTGGAAGTGCATTCGGCTTCTTCCCGGTACATCTCCACAAGATCGGCTGAGCAACGTTAGTCGCCTACATACAGGCCCGTAATGAAACAAATTGTACGTTCAAATTTACAAAGACCATTTGCGAGCTCAATTGTCACTGAATTGAAAAATTGTATAACACTTTTTTGTTGTATTTTGTGTCAGGAAGCTGTGGTTTCTTTTTTAATTATTATAACTGGGACACCCTGTATATACAAGCAATATTTATGTAGTTGTTTTGTAATCAAAACAGCTCTAACAATTTCGACGAAAATTACAATAAAAGGATTTACGGGTCCGGAAAATCAATCTAGCTAGATTTCATTTCTGGGAAATATGTTTTCTTCATGTTTTCACGCACAAGGCGCTAGACTTGACTGGGCAATGTTGTTCGTGATTTAGTCACAGATATTTTTTTTTCAACAATTCAATTATTAGAGTGTCTATTTGAATCCTTCAGTGCGGTCAGACTTTTTTATAATTTATGTAGATAAGAAATTTTAGGTTACAAACTAAGAACAATAACTTTACAAAACGGTGTTTTATATCTGTCTTGAGTGGAGTTTGATGGCCTGTGTATCTATTAGAATTTCATTTTACAAAATAAGGAAAAATCGATTTTGATGAACAATATTTCAGAAACAACACATTTTTAACTAAAATTTTGGGATTATTCTAATTTACCATGTTCACATGGCTGGGAAGTATTATGAATACTTAATGTTGTTTTTATATTCTTTAATGTGACTTGTATATTTTGAGTCGCAATCCTTACTTTTCAAAGAGTAAACCACCACACTATTACGAATTTGCCGACGTTAAATGTAATGATCCTTTATTACATTCGTTCGGGACATGAAGCCGGTAATATAATCAACCAACGCAATCTTTTATCCGTTCATCTTGTAGACAATCGATTGCAACGATTTGAATTACAGATAAAATTTCACAACAACGAAAAGAAAAAAGAAGAACAGAACGCAAAGAATTGTTAGGATGAATAATTTTCATAGATTAGAAGTAGAAGTAGATGCGATGAAAAAACTTTATGACAATGTCTCTAGAGATTTTTGCGATGTTTTTGGAAACAAATAACCCTAAAATGGCTGGAGATATATAGATATATATATAGAGAGAGTGATTTTGTCGGGAACCAGGTAAGTACTCGGCAGTAACTGTGCCGGGTACCCGGTTACTGTCTTCGTCCTGGCGGGCTTTGCATTAAATAGCAACGTCCTAAAGCATCAGTCATTGAATCCCGTCCAAAAAGTCATTTAAAAAATTAACCAATGAAATTTTAATTGGTTAAAACGAACCCATAATGTTTAATAAATATTAAAAGTCTGAAAGGTGACAAAATCATACTAATGAGTTACTCTAAATCAAAGTCTGACATGCCAACAAGCGACAAATGTTGTAATAGTAATAGGTCATACTGGTTTATTCTTGTTCACAAGAAAAAGTAAACAGAGAACTTTATCGAATACCATAATTATGAAACTTTGACACTTAATAGGGGTTAACATCAAATATTAATATGAAATTTCATTGTTAACATTCAATTAATTTAGTGATTTGGTATTATTTCGTGTAAAATATGATTAGAGACCAATATGACTTTGAAATCGCCGATGTATTCTATCTGTCACCCTGTGTATTGTAAGTGAGCACAGGGATAATTATAACATAAATTTTATTATCGAAAGAAACAAAGTAGCGGCTGAAACAAATGAATAAAAGGTGCGTTGTAATACCATTGTATTGATTGCAACTGCAAGTAGAGAGAGAGAGAGAGAGAGAGAGAAGGCGAATAAAGAAGTGAGAAAGAGCGAATTGCAGCGAATACGAGCTGATACGATTTTTCAATACAATCAAAATGTATGCCCCAATACATCAAAGTCGCAATGTATCTTTCTTCGCTCCACTAGAAAGATAGTGCCACGCTTAAATAGATGTCTTACTTTGCATGTTTGCGCAATCTGTTGTAGAAAAGGAATGGCAACCAAATAACTGCTCGATCTTATTTATACGCGACCTCACAAACAACAATAACCAACCGGTGATGGACGGCATGGTTGCGTGACGGAAACAATTCTCTGTGACATTTTCGTACAAGCAACTGTACAAACTGTTTCCTTGTAGGTAAACGTTGGTCATTTTCTGGATATTCGTCAATGCTACGCGCTAAGAAAGTGCCGTTTTGTCCAATGTTATCCTTTCGATTTTAAATGTGAGTTTACCCGAAAGATATATCTTGTATATAAAATTTTTATAATTTTATAATTATATGACCCTGTCGTTTCAAATTCCATGGTTCCCATTTATGCAAATTTGTCCTTCGAGATACGCCAACTAAGATTTTTGCGGAAATAAATACAGATTTTCCATAAGTGGCGTGAAAGTTGATCAATATTGATTTGACTGATTGACTAATTCTTGACCGATTTTGATGATTTAAAAGGTCGATTTCTACGGATTCTACCACACTTAAATAGAATGTGAAATAAATTTTCCAGTAGCACTTGAAATAAAACATTTCTGATTAATACCAAAAAAAAAATATGTATTTAGTGAGAAATAAGAAAATGTATCAAAACAAGTGTGATATTCGAATTCAGTAAGCTCGAGTTAATTAGTTAAAATAAATAAAAATTAAAAATAGTCGAAATTGAAGAAAAAGCTGATACAAGAGTTTGGTATGGACTAGGAAATTCCTTTTTTGTTTTTTAATGGAATAGCCCGTTCATTACCTCTTGAGTACTTTAATTATGTAAATCAATTTGAACATTACATGTTTTGATTTTAAGGGTAAAACGCGTTTGGTTTTTGCCTAGTTATTTTATATTAGTTTTGAAGCATTTTTGCTTGCGAAGTCTAAAAAAAGAATAGATCAAAATTAAAGAAATTAAGTTTGTCACATAATGCCTAATTTCACTGAAAATTTCATATTGATTAT